ATTAAATTTGGGTACTAAAAACCTAGGTAAGATATAACCAGCTTTGAGTGTAATAGATATATGTTAGATATTAGTGAGATTGAAAAAATGTATGGAGGATCTCAGAGTTTTGACATGCCACATTCCTAATTATGAATCCTCAATTCACGTTTGCAGTTTTGACAGAGGCACAGCTAACTCAAGCTAACCTCCTGGTTACCTTAATCATACAGTTGAAACCAACTCTTTAGTCTACAAAAGTAAACACCCCATGTTTGGAGTTAATCATAGGGAAATATTAAGCTGTCTTTGGCATTGTTAGGATTTCTGTGAAATTTATCACCCAAAGCCATCATAACTTTCATTTTGCGCAAGGTCTACATAAAGTGCCAAACAGTAAACAGAAAGCAAGAGCCAGTGGCAAGACTTCATTCTCCTAACTACAAGTTCCTTCAGGATATAATGTTTCCTACTCCTCAACCTAGTGTGGAAACCAGGATGCCAAATAGGGATTACAACATTCTGGTAACTCTAATCTATTTGATCTCTGTGTGAATTCCCAGATAATATACATTTGTAACCATAAAAACAAATATTAACTCTGAAACACAATATAAATGATTTGGAGATTAGCCAAAGCAATCACACCCTCATGACAACTGAATTCCTGCCCCTACAATGTGACCTCATATGCCAAAAGTAAAAATAAGGAAAGTCAGAAAGAAAAAAGCTGAATTGATGAAGACATAAGATAATAATTTAACCTAGAATAGAGGTTCATTACTAAAGAACAACGAGAGGAATTATATTTTACATTTGTACTCCTTGACTCCCTCAAAAACCATTCTTAATATTATTTCAACTATTTTATAAACAGACACAAAAATTACTCATAAATCATTGATTTCTAAATTAAGATATATTTTGTTTCAATAATAAGCACGTTTCTTCAATTTTTTGTAGGAAAAGAAAATATTTTAATGTTTATAAGAAATATGCATTTTCCACTTTGAAATTTTATTGATGTGAAATGTATAATTTCAAAAGAGCACTTTAGCAGTTTTGGTATTGGATTCTGACTTAATTGATTTGAAGCATTTTGAAAATGCTATTAATTTAAAAAATCCAAAATACTTATATCTTATAAGTACCCCTATATAATCAATTTATTTTTAAGTAAAAATCATCATCTGTAGAGTTGACTGGTGATAGTTGTAACACAGGGTTTTTTTTTAGTAAAACTGTAATCATTCACTTATTTATGCTGTACCATAGACATAATTTATGAGTTTTTGCCTCAATAAATTAATATATTCATAAAAATAAAAAAAACATTCCAGTTTTTATTGGGTAGACTTTAATTACTAGCATTACTATATGTCAAACATGAACTCTTCATTAATGTGTGTGTGTGTGTGTATGTGTGTGTGAGAGAAAGACAGACAGACGTGCAAAGGAGCAGGAGAAGAGGAAAATATAGCATCTCTTTTTCTTATTCTTTGGAATGTTTGTATATGACATGACAGTGCTGCTCTCAAAAAGGTATACCTACAGTAATTATTTCCAAATGATTCTAAATAATCTAAGTGATGTTAAAGCAAAGTGACTAAGTGCATAATCTTTGGAAACAAAAATTCAGTTCAAAATCTTGGCTCCTCCACTTAACATTGGACAAGGTGCAGCACACTGTGGGCCTTAGATTCCTCTTCTGTAAAACAGAGATGAAGATCTAAAAACATCCACCTTCCAGCCTGCTGTGCTCATTCCATGATATCTACTGACCCATGTTAATTAATAGCTGTTCACCTCCTGACCCATGTTAATTAATAGCTGTTGACCTCCTGCTTCCTGTACTTATTGGAGCTTTGGTTTCCAAAATCAGTCCTGGTTCTCCTCCTATGTCTCACTCCTGGACACGAAAGCAGAGCATGCAAGACTGTCTTCATCTGTTACTGCTGCCCTTTCAGCATCATCTCTCAGTTCTGCCCTGCTAGTAGCCATCAAACCCAAAACCCTAAAAATGTCTTGCAAATATTTCAGCCTCCAGACCTAGTGTATTTTTTTTTACCACTTGTACTACTCTGCCATATCACCAACCCTCTTCAGATTTGGAGGGAATTGAGGAAAATTACAAGCAGCGTGTAAAGCCTCCAAATTGAGGGCACATGAATATGGAAGGGACCATTATCAATGGCAGCAGACATATTAACAGGTAAATAGTGGCTATAATTTATAGTCTTGTGCCAGTTCAGCCAATCCAAATCTGACAAAGTCTAAAGAAGGAATCAAAATTAAAAGCATGCCAGCCCCAAAGGGAGATGCAGTATGAAACAGTCTTATATAAGAAAAAGAAAGCAAAGCATGAAAGAATGTTTTATTCTTCACTGAACCCATGCACTTCCATATGGACAAATGGGATGCAAAAAAATGGCTTCAATTGAGGATAAACATTGGAAAGTGTAATTTGTCCTTTGAGATTTTACTCAGAAGCCTATGCAGCCATCCCGGATTCCCCTACCACCCAGGACATTATTAGTAACTCCTTTTGGGTTACATTTTCTATTTACTTTTTTTGGCACCAAAGAGTACATAAAATACTTGGTTAACGTCTACCTTTCCTATTATACAGACCTCCATCAAGGAAAGGCCCTTTTCTATTTCATCGTTGCTTACCCTAAGTCTTGAGCAGAGCAAACAAGGATTATCTACAACAAATACAACAATGAAAGAGTGCAACTGATTCCAAACAGAATGTCTGAGGTGAAAGGGAAGCACTTGAGGAATTTCTTGTTGAAAGACCTCACTTATCTCAATGAGATCAGAGGTGGAGTATCTTGAGAAAGGCAAAGACAGCTTTGGGGAGTTGGAAAAAAAAAAAAAAAAAAAGGTCTGATTATACACACTGTGGAAACTAGATAAGGAGTTAAGAAGGCAGCAGTAAAAGAACTGGCCAGTACTGTATTAAGGTTCCAGAGAGAGTGCCCATGATTTGTTGGCTTTTTCATCTGGTGCATAGAAAAGCTCTTAGTAGCCCATCTATGATTTTCAAAGTTTCTAAATTAGTTCCAATAGCTCTACTTTATCCTAAACCTGCTGAGGGTTGAAATGGAGTTTAGGGAAAGGAAGGTATTATGGGTGAGAAATTCAGGTAAGAGCAAACAAATCTCAAGGCTAAAAGAAAACAAAATGACAAAGAGACAAGATAGGAAAATCCTCAAATACAGCACCCTTCTCCTTCCAGAGACAGTTTTCTGGTCTCCATACCATCCTATTTGCTGACCAGACCTCAAGACATTGGCACAGTGTAGTCTGTTCATGGCCCTGTGAAAGGCAGTTATACCCTCATCTCAGAAGCCATCTAGCTCACACAATATTTAGTGAAACTATTTCCTTCCCACCCTGTTAATGTGGTCTGAGCCTTCATTAACTTTAAGACATTCACAGATTCGTATTGTTGCACTCCAAGGTACACCTTACATAGTGCTTTGGAAAAAGTGTAAATTGAAGGACTAGAGCAAACTAAATTTAAACTTTTTATGAACAAGGTCAGTAATGTACAAAAATATGCAATGTTTCCCAGGACAGAGTCACGGAGTTCAGTGCTTGATAGGAGGCTAAAGCAACACCATTAATTTTTTTTTTAATGTTAACAAAAGATGACTGTTAGCATCAAAAGAAAAAAATGGGAGTCTAAGATATGTAACCTAGAAGATTTTATCTATCAAATAAAAGAAAGACATGGAAGGTGGAGTTCAGTAAAACTCTATACACTGTTCTGGATACAGTCACACTTCACCTTAGATACAACATCACAGTAACATCTGTTTCTCTCCCTTCTAATTCCCAACACATAAAGCAATCCTTTGACTAGGAATGAATATACTATGTGTTATATAATATAGTAGTATATCATACTCTATAGACTATAATATACTATATGGTATACTAATATACTATATCTAATATAGTAATAATCCCACTAAAAGTTAATAAATTATTACAGAGTAAACATGATGACCTAATCTTTAGTGTACAATTCACTCTAATGCTACTTCTCACTATAAACATTTTTGATAAACTTTATTGCTGTACGCATTAGTCTTTTGTCACTTGGTAAGTCAAATCATCTCAATGTATAATGTAAAAGTGGTATTTCTGGTCCTAAAAGGTAAAAAATTAAAAAAACATTGTTTCACCAAATTGTATTTGAATTTCTCTGAGCCTGTTAAAGCAACATGACAACAATAATATTTTAGAAACTCATTATGCTGATTTTTCTCATTTTCATTTAATACTTACTTAGCAATTTCTTTGTGACAATTCCTGTCCAATTACTCAATAAGTATTAACTCAATGAATTTCTCACAATTACAACTGAGATCAGTTATCCCCATTTTATAGATGAGCAAATTAAGAGCCGCAGAAGATTAATTAACTTCACTAAAGTTAACAGAGCCGATTCAAACCCACGCAGCCTAGTTTCAGATATAACACTGGTGACCACTATTATGATGTTTCTCATGAGAGCAACGTTGCATTTGGAACTTTTAAAATATCTTAATGTCAAAAGTCATTATTTTAGATGTCTCTCCTTTAACATTTTACAATAGTGTAAAATAGTATAACCCTTTTCTTCTTCACTGTTAGAAACAAAAGAATCTACAATTAAGTATCTTACCTGTTATTATCTACCCCTTGCTGATGAACAAAATAGACCCAGAGACATAAAAAGGAGTACAGTTCACACTGACAAACCTCAGAGGAGGGTGGCAGGGGGTGGGGGAATGAGATAAACCAAAGAACTTATATGCATGTATGTGTAACCAGTGGACATAGAGAACAATGCTGAAACTAGGCTGCGTGGGTTTGAATCGGCTCTGTTAACTTTAGTGAAGTTAATTAATCTTCTGCGGCTCTTAATTTGCTCATCTATAAAATGGGGATAACTGATCTCAGTTGTAATTGTATCTGGGGGGGAACATCTGTAACAAAAATAAATGAATAAATTATATATATCTTACCTGTTATCTTCATCATCACAGAAAAAAATACTGGTGAAAAATGACACAGGTTTAGATGATTTGAAGCTGACATGGCAAAAGAGATCATTGTTAGTTCCACTGAGAGAGGCTCTGATGAATGAGCCTTTTGGAAAATTCACAGAAAGAGGGTAAATCTCTTCATCACCACCAAGACGCCTTGCTCGGGGAATCATGACCTTTATAGTTGTATCTCTGTTTAAAATGTAAAAGCAAAACATTTTAGCTCAATGTGTTCAAGTAATTGCCCTTAAATCTGTTTTCCTCTGTTTTTTGTTTTTTTTTTTATCATTGGAAAAATTAAAACAACGAATATTGATAATAATATGCACAGTTATTAAAGATATTTTTGTATCATCTCTTATTTTTTGGTCATAATGATTAATAACATTATTTTAATAAAGCACCACATAAGATGATCAAAAGTTCCTTTTGTCCTCTAAAGATTAAAAAAGAGGGTTAAAACACCTGATTAAATATGATGTGTTTTTAAACACAGCCATGATTTAAATAGTATTGCCCTTAAATATATCCTGACAAAAATTTACCAAGTTATTTTAATAGCGAGAGCTTTATCACATGTAGAATAAATATTAACATTAATATTCACACATAATTTCTTTTTAAATATGAATGCTCTTAAGCACTGTATACATATATCATGAATATTTTAAAATCATCACTACTAAAAATTTCATTTAACGTTCACATATTTCACTATATATCTGTAAATTATTCTGCCAATCTAAAATGTTTGTAATTTTGAAGAACATAGTGTGAAATATTTACTTTTAAATCTAAGTAACACTTGACAACTTTTAATGGCCTATAAATATTTAACTATATTACTTAGTTTTATTTTATTATATGTGTAGACTTCTATAGAAAATAAGAAGTTTTATCAAATGAGAATCATATTTCCATAGTATTTTCATTAGAGTGAGGACTATTTGGCTAATTTACTGGAAAAAGTAAAGAAAGATTTCAACTTCAATTAGTTAAACCAATACGGTTCATTGGATAAGACATGAAAAGGTAATTTATAAATCAGGTTTGAATCTTATTCTGCTACTAATTATGTAAGTGTCATTGGATAAGTAACTCAAGCTGTTGGTTTTATTGTACATATAATGAGGAGTCTGGGTTACATCATCTCTACAGTTCCTTGTACATGTTTATGTCATTATACCACATTTTGCAAGACTCAGCTTTCGAGTTGAGATCATTTTTAAATTGATACCTTTATAAGACTAAAATATTAATTCATATATTAGACAATTTTTGTAATAAACAATGCTTTTTAGCACAAAATAATTTAAGCCACTTCTATTTCCTATTTAAGCAACTGAGGTTAGTGTCTACTTATAAGAGAGGGTTGGAAAGAAGAGCAAATCACAAAGTTGTCAAGTTAAAGTTTAACTATAACAAAATGGCATTTAGAACAAGCTCCATGGCATAAGTAAGCACTCATTATATCCTGCAGGCCAAGCATGAGAAACTAAAGGTTATCCTATGCTCTCCAACTTGAATAATTTTCATTTATTTTAAACCACTACATCACACTTGGAACTTGTTTTCTCTGGATTTCAGGATGCTTACTTATAAAATAAGGGACTAAACTAGAGAAGCTCTGAGAGGGGTAACAAGATCTAGAAGTTTATGAAAATAATGCTTATCAGTAATTCACATTGGTATGCAAACCCTCACAATTAATATCATTTTTAATGTTACCTAACTACTCTTTATAGCTATTTCTTTATATCTACAGATAGGTATATTGATAAATAAAAAACTGTTTGGCTTTCCTTTGTTTGTTTATATAAAAAATATCAGTATATGTAGTATTCCTTGTTACTTTTTTTTCTTTAATCCTCACCCGAGGACATTTTTCCATTTTTTGTTCAGACAGATGGGAGGGAGAGAGAGAGAGAAAAAAAAACATTGACGTGAAAGGGACACATCGAGTCGTTGCCTCCCGCATGACCCAACCAGGGCCGGGGACAAACTGAACGGAGGCACATGCCCTTAGCGGGAACCGAACCCCTGTCTCTCTGGACCGCAGGTCAATGCTCTAACCACTGAGCCAAACCGGCCAGGGCTTCCTTGTTATTTTTTAATTTATCTCAATATTTTGTTTCTGAGATTCCTAACACAATTGTCTCATTAGCCAGAGTTCACCCACTTCTCTATAATAGTCATGTACATATATACTACAAATTACTTATCCCTTCACCTGTCACAGGACATTTGTGCAGTTCCCAAATTTTGTTATTCTGAATAATGCAACTGAATAATTTCAAACATACTGTGTAGTACACATGTGAAAGAGCTTTTCTTGTATACACTCTGAAGTAGAATTTGGGGGCTGTGAAATATAAAGATGTTACACTTTGCATATTATTATCCAGTGTGCTCCTAATCATTGACACTGTAACTAGTTACCTGGTTTAACCTTTTCCTACCTAAGACAGGCAAAATACTATCATATTATTGTCTTTAATTTTCATTTCCAAGTTTACAAAAAGGTCAATTATATGTTTTCAGATGTTCATTTTCTAATTGTGAATCCTCTTCTGTGAAATACCTACAGAAAGAAGCTTTTTGTCAACATTTCTACTGAATTAGTTAATATTTTTCTAAGTTTCATCAGTCATTTAATTTATTGTTAGCATGAGTTTAAGTCATTTTGCTGTTCACATTTAAACCTTTGATCCATTTGTAATAGATTCTGTGAATTATACAAGAGTAATTTGAAATATTCCATAGAGATAATAAATTGTTCCAGCATCAGTTATTAAACAGTAACCTCTTTTCTTCAAAGATCTACAATATCACCTTTGTCAGATATTCAGTATCCACACACGGGTATGCCTTTTTCAAGTCTTTCAATTCTAGTCCTTTGGTCAGTATCTATCACTACACTTTCACATTGATTTAGTCTTTATATTTGGTAAGGCAAGCCCTTTTCATCTTCTTCAGGGTTGGCTTGGAGTGGCTCAGTTGGTTGAGAGCCGTCCCATGCACCGAAAGGCTGCCAGTTTGATTCCCAGTCAGGGCACATAACTCGGTGGCAGGTTTGATCCCCAGTTGGGGAGCTTACAGAAGGCAACCAATGGGTGTTTGTCTCTCACATCGATGGTTTTTCTCTCTCTCTCCCTTTCTCTCCTTTCTTCCCTCTACACATGTCCTTGGGTGAGACTAAAAATAAAATATTTATTAAACCTGAACTACAGAATGATACGCTTGCAGTTTGTAAATATCCCACATATGGCCGAAGAAAAATATGTATTCTCTAATTGCAGGGTTCAATATTTTATAATATTATTTAAGGCTATTTTTAGTATTTTTAATAATATAGCATCAAATAAATACTTTTTAAAATATCTTGTTCATATTTTCTTTATCTATATAAATGTTGTCTTTTGGGCTCATCAATAATTGAAATATGTGTTGAAATATCCTACAATGATGAAGGACTAGTGAATTTTCCTATTATTTTGATTTGAGCTTTATAAAGACTATTTAAGTCATGCACAGAATTTTAGAATTCTGATAGTTTCCAGGTGAGCCACATGTTTTATGATTATTTAATGACTTTTCTATATTAAAAAGTATGTTTTACCCTGTAAAGGTTACCACTTGTAAAATTAATACTGCTATTCAGCTTACTTTTGATTATCCTGATATATATTTTCCTCAACTGGGTGTGGTTTTGTTCCCAAGGAGACATGTAGCAATGTGTGGAGACATTTTTTGTTTCTGTCACAGTTTGGGGGTGGGGATTCAGAGGGTGCTAAACATCCCACAATGTACAGGATAGCCTCCAACAAAACAGGGATTATCCTCCCGAATGTGTCAACACTTCTGAAGTTGAGAAACCTTGCTTTACTTCAATCTTTCTTTATCTTTATGTTTCACATAATACTCCTTTTAATAGACAGCTGAAGTTGTCTCATTTATTATAAACATTCCTTGTCTTTTAACTAGAGTAATTTATTTACATTCTATTGCATAATTCAACTAGAGTTTCTAACACCATTTTTGTTTTAGTTTTCTATTAATTTTTTTTTTCCTCACCCGAGGATATTTTTCCATTTTTTGCGCAGATAGAGTGGGAGGGAGAGAGAGGAAGAGAGAGAGAGAGAGAGAGAGAGAGAGAGAGAGAGAGAGAAACATCGATGTGAAAGGGACACATCGAGTGGCTGCCACCTGCACGACCAACCAGGGCCGGGGACAAACTGCAACCGAGGTCCGTGCCCTTAGCGGGAACCGAACCCGGGTCTCTCCGGACCGCAGGCGGATGCTCTAACCGCTGAGCCAAACCGGCCAGGGCAGTTTTCTATTAATTTTTAAAGGATGTGTCCCTTTTCCTTTTTTACCAACTTAACTTAGGTTTTGTTTGTCTCTATACTGGTTGTGTAGTTATATAATCTTAGGTTTAGTGGATCCCCTTAAAATTTTACCCTAAACACTTTATTTTTAAATTTCTAAGTTATATTTGGTTCATTTTCAAATATATGTTGTATAATCCCATGTTAAGTACTAACTGTTGCAATGTCATCTTTTTAAAATAAGTTATTTATATTGTGTCTGATAATTCTAATACCTGAATTACTTAAGAGTCTAAATCTCAAGATGGTCCTTTGTGCTTACTCTAAATTATAGAGTCCTCTCTCCTTGTGAATTTTGTAATGCTTGATACTGTGCTCCTGTCTGGTTGATAGAAATCTGTGACAATTGAAATGTGGGCCCAAACTGAGGATGGCTTCATTTGGAGTAGAGGTTCACAAAATGTGGTCCATGGATCAGCAGCATCACTATCATCTGGAAACTTACTAGAAATACAAATAATCACATTTTATTCCAGCCTTCCTGAATCATATATTCTGGGAATGGAACCCAACAAGCTCTGTTTTAAGAAAATCCTTCAGGTGATTCTAATATACACTGAAGTTAAAGAATCACTAATCTAGAGAACAGTTGAAGAACGTACTCACATGGAGTCGTTTTAGCATCTTCCCATGTTCCTGTATTAAACCAGGAATCTGAGATTACATTTTCTTACCTTCCTGTTGTCCCCTGATTGAAGAACAATCCTGCATTTGGTATGGTGTTACAGCTCACCACTCCTACTCTGCTTTCAGCTTTTAAGTATGCTTTTTGTTTGTTTGATTGATTTGATTTGAGCATTTTGGAGATCTCCCATATTTCTCAGAAGCCCAACAATTACACACACACAAGATCTACTGATTACTTGTTTTGTAGTGTAAGGGTTCACAATGTATCTAGGCCAATATACTATTGGGGTTTGGGCTGTTAATAAATTTATTTAAAAATGAAAACAGACTACAGTTGGCTATAGTATATGCATGAGTTAGGCAAAATTCCAAGATGGCCCCCAAGAGTCCTGTCCTTTGATGTACAAAGTCTGTAATTCCTACCCCTTACGTGGCAGGACCTGCAAATATGATGACATATCACTTTGGTGATTAAGTTATGTTATATGGCAATGATAAAGGGAATTTCCATATGTAATTAAGGTTCCTAGTCAAATGAATTTGGGTGGTTCAGAGTTAATCAGATGAGATCTTAAAAGGAGGTTTAGAGGTCAGAGACAGAGCAGTTGAGAGATGGTCTACTTTTGGCTTTGAATGAATGACATACCACACTGTTGAGAAGGAACCACATGGCTAAGACTTGAAAGTGTTCTCTAAGAGCTGAAAGTTGTCCCAGCCAATAGCCAGCAAGAAAATGGTGTCTTAGTCCTACAACTGCCAGGATAAATTCTTCCAACAACCAGGGAGCTTGGAGGAGGACTGAGCCTCAGATAATACTGCTGCCACAACCCACCACCTGATTTCTGCCTATTGAGACCAGGAGCAGTGGACCAGACTCCTGACCCAAAGAAACTCTGAGATAACAAATTCATGTTTTAAGGCACTAAGTTTGTGGAAATCTGTCACACAGCAATAGAAAACAAATACCCTGAGTTTTTAAGCCTGCTTCTTACGCTATGAAGAGAGACATAAGAAAAAAATTTACAAGAAAATTAAATGACTAACTGTGAGGCATCTAAGTGGGCTTTTTTTGTATTTTAATTTACATGTAGAGTTAAATATTTTAATAGTTTGTTCCAACTATAAAAACTTAAATGGCTAACTGTGAGGCATCTAAGTGGGCTTTTTTTGTATTTTAATTTACATGTAGAGTTAAATATTTTAATAGTTTGTTCCAACTATAGAAACAAGTAAGGTATCGCTCATGACTCATATAACACAAAAACAAACAAAAAACACATAAATAAAATATTGTAAATTCACATTAAGCATTTACCTGTAATAATTTTTACATGAAATGTTGACATCCACCACAGTTGTTACATTCAAAGGAACAGGAGTGAAAAATATGAATGAAGGGTCAAACAATAACTTGGGCAATTGTATCTCTCCAACCAGATGTAACATTTGATAGCAAGTTGGAGTACTATTTAAACGTAGAGGAACATTAGCTGTGTATTTTATAGGCTGACCTAATGAAAAAATAGTTAAGTATTTTAGATTAGTTGGCACACACAAAAAACATTTACATAGTTTAAACCTTACTAAATATTAAAATGTACTAAGAAGTTACAGCTCAATGAAGCAGAATAGATTATCCAGAAACTAAATTTATCCTGCCAAGTAACTTAAGACATGTAATGAGGAGTCCTTGGAATAAAACTCTTTCAAAGTGCACTACATCTAAAAATAGAGCAAGTCTCCTTAAAGCAGATTTTTATTATTATGGGAAAACACAGCTACCTGAGGAAACAGTGCAAAAGGATTTTTTTCTGACTATTTTCTGTGCCTTAGTAGGAAATACCCATCCCTTTAATACATACAGTATGAAAATGAGGTCAGATAACTATTATAAGGATTTCAGGGGACTACTGGGAAATAGATATGCTGATAGGAAAGGAATGTGGTTTCTCCCAGATTTTTAAGTTTATGAAAGTCTGCCAGGGTTGACTGGCTAATTTCAGCCGGTAGGAAAAGACAGGAAATTCCCATGTGGCAACTCATATGAGGAAAGGCAAACTGTTGGAGAAAAGAGATCAACATAGGAGGCTGCAGGTTAGTCCCGGAGGACAGGGTCTATCACAGCAAGTTACCAATGCCCTTTAGACCCAAATTTCCAAATATAGGTCTCAAAGTGTTAGCCAAAGCAGCTAGTTAGATATTAATGAAAGAGAAGGGAGCCAGATATCTAATTAAGCAGGATTAACTAGGAAGCTAGAGCTTCCAGACATCCTGGGGGATCACAGCATTGCCCCAAGGGGGTTAACATCTCTTCATTTCCCCAGCAGGCAGGAAGAACTGGCTTTTTAATCTTCCCAGGAATAATGTCCCCTTCCCATAAATTACTGAGTGGAGGGAGAACCAGTAGAGGGGAAATTCCTCTGCTGAGGGATGCAAAGTAGAGACCAAAAATGCATAGAGGAAGGTCCTTCTACTATGAGGTATCCACAATAGAAGCCAAGATGGCACAGGGGGAGGGCCCAGTACAAGCCCATGAAGAGCCAGGAAAGAGATTGGTTACTTTGAAAGAAAGCCTGCCCTTTCCTAATTTGGAGATAATATAATCAAAGCTTAACAAAGGCCAGGGGTTTGTTCTTTTGCCTATTCATTCATGTGCTCTCTCTCTGTAGCAGCCATGTGGGATTGACAGCTGCATGGACCCAAGCACAGGCTCAAGTGCAGCATCTTGGGTTGCAGCCCAAGTGCAACCTTGGAGGCAGGGATGTGCAGATGAGGAAATGAGACACAGAGAAGTTCTGCATTTCTGGGCCCTGGTCCTCCTGGGCTTGGTGAGGACAAGTGAGGGCTTGTGGTCCCAGAGAGTGAACTTATTCCATAATGAGACAGAGCTGAGACATCTGGTCCTGGATGAGACACTGAACACTTGGGGGCAGTCTTTTGTTTTTGCTCCAATAAATCTTACCACTATATCTCATCTTCCTATGCATGGGTCCCCAAAATGCTTTTCTTGTGACTCCGTGTAAGAACCCTATTTACCCTGGCATAATCAGGAGGAAAATGTGATCTGGTGAATATGAATTCAATGTATTATTTTAGAATTCAAGAACTGGACACTATCCCTGGCTGGTTTTTCTCAGTGCTTAGAGCTTTGACCCATGAACCGAAGAGTCTCAGGTTTGATTCCCCGTCAAGAATATGTACCTGGGTTGCAAATTCAATCTTCAGCCCTGGTTGGGGTCCTGCGGGAGGCAACCAATCCATGTGTCTCTCTCACATCAATGTCTCTCCCACCCCCCCCACCCCACCTTCTACTCTCTCTAAAATAATCAATGGAAAAATATCTTCGAATGAGGATTAACCAAAAAAAAAAGAAGAAGAAGAAGAAGAAGAAGAAGAAGAAGAAGAAGAAGAAGAAGAAGAAGAAGAAGAAGAAGAAGAAGAAGAAGAAGAAGAAAAAGAAGAAGAAGAAGAACTGGACTTCACAGTGGCCTGGAAGGGATCAGGACCATTAAGGGTACCACCAGGGCAAAGAATGAGAGTGTTCTGGATGATGCAGAGCCATATTCAAAATGACATCATTGTGAACCATAAACAAAAGCAATGGACTCACTGGACTGATCAGATCCACTAGTTCTCTCTGTACTAGATGCCTTTATATGCTCAAATAAGCCCTTAAAGTGTTCAAATAGTCTGGGGTCCTTGGAAAATGGGAGGTGGCTGGAGAGGGCAGGGAATAGGGACTGCCTACTAATAATGAAAGAAGACTACTAGAAGGATTACGTGAAAATATAAGAAATTGTATCTGCACCTTGAACAGATAAAATAAGTTATAATGATTTATGCATTTAAAGCACTGTAAACTTATAGGGTAAAGATAGTTTCATTTAATGAATATGATACTGTTAAAATTATTTTGGGGGAAAATAACATTAACTTTAGAGTTAGGAAGTTATAAGACATTGAATTCTGAATTTTGTTGGTTATTTTGTTTTGTTTTTATTGTTAATCCTCACTCAAGGATAGTTTTCCATTGATTATTTGATAGAATGGAAGGGAAAAAGAAAGAGAGAGATAGACAGAGAGAGAGAGAGAGAGAGAAACATTGATGTGAGAGAGACACATCGATTGCTTGCGTCCCGCATGACCATGACCAAAGCCGGGGATTGAATCTGCAACCCAGTTATGTGTTCTTGACCGAAATCGAACCAATACCACTTGGTCCACAGGCTGCCACTCTAACCACTGAGCTAAACTGGCCAAGGCAAATTCTGAATTTGAATGGGTTATTTCAAGATTATTTCTGGGTTTCAGGCCTGTTAAAGGTTTCTGGGGTCACAGAGAAGGGGCTTCATTGTGTAACCTAAGACTACTAGAGATTCAATGACTCTTTGTTTTAAGCCCAGGTATGTCTTCTCTCTCATCTGAGATGTAAAATATAAACATGGTACAGGCATGTTTAATTATTTTTTCTTAACAATTAGGTTGGGATCCTAAAGAAGGAACCCTCAATTTGACTGCTTGGGCTCAGTTCCATACTGAAGGAAAAGTCAAATGGAAATGTTTCTTATCTCCTTCTAGATTGTCCAGTCCAGTTCATCTGGATACAAACACAGATAGAGACATAAATGAAAAACTCTGTATATAAATACAGATGGTATCTTTAACTGAACTAGCTATTTCTTTCAGGACCAGACACAGTATAAACTGAGAAGAAATACACAGAAATTTATAATGAAACCTCATTATTTTAACAAAATAAATTTCAGAATGCAGAAAATATTTGATGTTTTCTATTATATTTCTGGAGTTATAAGCAGAGATAATAAAATATGAAACAATTTTTCCTTTGTTTATTTTTAGAGAGAAAGGAGAAGGAGAGAGAGATAGAAACATTGATGAGAGAGAACATCAATTGGCCGCCACAACCTGGGCATGTGCCCTGACCAGAAATTGAACCAGCAACCTCTTGGTGCATGGGTTGAAGCTCAACTACTGAGCCACACCAGCAGGGCAGATGAAACAATTTTTAAACCTAGTAATCACAGTATCCTATGTACTTTCTCTCACATATAAAACCAAAGCAATTATGCAATGCCATGCAAACAGATGTAAGCAAGACACGGTGCTTATAGAATATTACTGAGAGAGAAAACACATAGTTCAAGGAACTCTCAGAAAGCTTAATAGGTTCTTATCCTGCCTTTTCTATTGATCACATAACTAGTCGTGGGTATTTTATTTAGATTGCCACAGGTGTAAAATACAGTAGTGTCCTGAAAATTCTGAAGCAAGTGGTTGTAGGCAAAGGGGGAAGCAGAACAGGGCAGGGCCAGAAGCCATGACAATGTGTGTGTGGGTTTAGAATCCAGATTCAGCCTGATTCCACAGGGAGCACTGAGATGTAAATTCACCAGAGAGATTGTCCCACAGGAGGGAGTGGGCTGGGCCATCTGAGGTAGTGGTGGTGGTGAAGCCTAAACGCCTAGGCATCTCTGCATGAGACATCTTCCTTCAACCAAGGGGACAGGCATAACCTATCAGGAGTCAACACCCATAACTAAGAAATGGATAGAAAAGTATAGTCATGAGAATCAGGATAGGCCCAAGCAGCATATACAACAGGATGCAATCCTAATGTTGATTCATAAATAAGAATAATTAGGAAGGATCACAGGGAAGTTACTATAACACATTTTAAAAAGAAAAATAGTTTGGAAATGGTATTTTGTATGCTTATTTAGTTAAACTAAATAAGGATATGCTTTAAAGTAGAAACAAATACCAATATAGATTTTCTCAAAAAACAGAAAAAAAAAATCTTCATAGCTGATTTTTTTCAAGCACTGTCTTGCTGCTCCTTTCTTCAGGTCTGCTTAAAGAAGCTAGTTATCAATACCCTCACTTCCTGAAGCTCATTACCAGGAAAATTCTGGGTTTTTATGCAGCAGGGATTCTCATGCTGAGAATTTTCTAAGGTATGTGCACCCTTGGTGAAGGCTTGGGAAACACTGAGGCTATTTACATGAGAACAAAAACAAGCTTATCCAAGGGGAGTGAGTCTAGTCACACAAATTAGATTCAAGAACAGTGATTCAGATTCACAAGTAATTGGAGATTTACTTAAGAGACCAGTGTGAGTCACATATACTATCACATCACAGCCTCCATTCCTGTGGCAGTCCAAGGAAAAGATGATAAAGGAGGAGTGAAAAGTAAAAACCACCTCACTAAAACTCTTCAAAGCCCTGAGACTAGAAGGCAGCCTGCTCGATGACTAGTATAATAGGGTCTAGCCAGAGTATGATCCTTTAATGTGCTGTTAAATTTAGTTTGCTAGTATTAGTTTTTTAAGTAATTAATGACTGATTAATTTTTATTTTTTAGTTTCTTAGTATTTTTTTGAAAAATTTTGCATCTATGTTTATCAAGGATAATGGCCTTAGTTTATTTTCATATCGTCTTTGTTCAGCTTGGGCATCAAGGTAATGCTGTCCTCATAAAATGAATTTCAGTGTTCCTTCCTCTTCAGTATTTTTAGAAGAATTTGAGAAGGCTTGGTATTACTTCTTTAAAGATTTGGTTAAATTCTCCAGTGAACCCATCTGGTTCTGGGCTATTCTTTGTTGACAAATTTCACATTTCTGATTCAATCTTCTTACCAGTCACAGGTCTGTTTAGTCCATGATTTTTAAAAGATATAGAAAAAAACAAATGCTTCAGTTTTTAACAAGGAAGGTAAGGACCAAACACTGAAATACCTAAAGTAAGATACAAGTATATGTTAAATACGTTCAGGTGATGTTCAGAACCTCTGAAAATCTAGTCCTCCATGTGTTGCCAGGTGAAATGAAGTCCTTCCACAGATTTGCAAGAAAAGCATTCTGGGCAACCCACGTATGGGAGGATGAGATGTAGTGTAAGATTTACTGGAATAGAAATAAAAAACTGCCCCCAGCCCTGGCTGGTTTGGCTCAGCGGTTAGAGCGTCGGCCTGTAGACCTGTGAGTCTCGGGTTCAATTCCGATCAAGGGCACATACCTCAGTTGTGTTCATCCCCTGCCCTGGTTGAGTTGTGTGGGAGGCAACCAGTCGACGTGGCTCTATCATGTTGATGTTTCTCTCTGTCCCTCTCTCTCTCCCTCCCTCCCACTCTATCTGATGATAAATAGAAACATATCCTCAGGTGAGGAATAAAAAATTAAAAAAAAGACTGCCCCCAGGTTCCAAGTATCTTATTTCTCTGTCCCACTGTGGAAAAGTCCAGTCTTGTCTTCATCAAACCCAGAAGAAAGGCCAGGGTTCAGAAAATCTGTGCCACTGGTTTAGCCCAGTTAAGTCTCTGTCCCCATTCAGCTTGCTTAGCCTCTGTTCCTGGCTATGCTCCAGCCTACAGTACGTACCCAGTACCTAGGTTTGTGCTTGGAGCCTGCATGGTGGCTGGGCCACTTGGCTGCTACAGAGAGAATGAGTGAAAGAATAGGGGACTGAATGCATGTTACCAGGTGAGAAAGAGAGAGAGAGTGAGACAGAGAGACAATGAGAATGCCTTTTGTTAGGCTCTGATTATATTATCTCGAGCTTGGAAAGAACCAAAATCCATTTCCTAGATCATCTGGGGTTCTGTGTCCTTATCCAATTCGATCATTTTCCCAGGCTAGACATTTCCTCCCTATGGTCATCATCTTGGCTCCTACTGTACATACCTCAAAGTAGAAGGACCTCCTCCTGTGCCATCTTGACTTCTACTGAGCATGTGCCCAGCATAGGAATTTCCCCTTTATTGTTTTGATTTCTCCCTGGGTAATCCCAGCTAATGCCAGGTAATGATCCTTCCTACCCCCTTTGGGATTAGGTCCCTAGGGTGGAGGATACAGCGGTCCCCTGGGGAGCCAACTATTGCTGCAACTTCCTAGTGAAGCAGGTTTATTGTCAGATTCAGCTCCCTAGTTTATGAGGCTCAACGTTCAACTCCCTTTGCTTCCTTTCTTTATTTATGATTAACTAGCTACCTACTCGAACACATGAAAGCAATGACAACCCTGGCAAAAATTGTCAAAAATCATTGCTGGTGGAAGCTTAAATGGTTCCAGTTGCTTTGTAAAACAGTTTGGCAGTTTCTTTAAATGTTAAACATCAAATTACCCTATGACCCAACAATTCCACTCCAGAATGTATACCCAAGTATATGAAAACATGTGTTCACACAAAACTATACATGAATGTTCATAATTGTGTTATTCATAATAGACAAAAAAAGTAGAAACAATCCAAATATCCATTACCTCAATGAATACTGAATGTCTATGACTAGACAATATGTAATATAGCCACTAGACAATATGTAATATAGCCATACAATTATTTGGCAATAGAGAGGAAGGAAATAATTATTCATGTTACAACATGGATGAACCTTAAAATTACTAAGCTATGTGAAAGAAACCAATCAAAAGAGGACACACATTGTATGATTCCATTTATATGAAATGTCCAGAGTAATCACAGTCCTAGAGATATAGAATAAATTAGTGTTCAGCAGTGGCTGAATGGAGGGGGAGTCAAGGAGTAAAATACCAATGGATATGGGTTTCCTTTTTTCAGGTAATAAATATGTTCTAAAATTAGACTATGGTGATAGTGGCACAACTGTGGATAACTTAAAATCTACCGTGTTGTACACTTTAAAAATTTTTTTTTCTTTATTGATTTTAGAGAGAGGAAGAGAGAGATAGAAACATCAATGAGAGAGAACATGGATTGGCTGCCTCCTGCATGCCCCCCACTGGGGATTGGGCCCACAGCCTGGGCATGTGCCCTGACTAGGAATCAAACCGGCAACCTCTTGGTGCATGGGTCGATGCTCAACCACTGAGCCACACTGGCCAGGCCCATGTTGTATACTTTTAAAAGGTGAATTGTATGGTGTATGAATTAAATATTAATAAAGTTATTATTAAGAAATTATACTTTAAAAAGGTAATCACATCTGAGTGAGAATTTTGTCTTTTTTAGGGTAACTAAAATAGAAGAATTTAAGGCAAAATAGAAGGCATCTTGTTCTTCTTCTAGTAGTTTCATTGTCTTAATGAGCAGTAAAAAAAAAAAACAATTCAGAAAGCCAGAAAAGGGATGCTTAATTGATTTGGAAATAGCTACTAAGGAAAAGTTATAAAGGCTGAATGTGATGCCATCTGAGCTAGAAAAACTAAAATTTGTCTGCACTAGAAGAAAATAAATGGTGGCAACCAAAGATGCTACCCTGGTTCCAACTCAAAAGACCTCTGTAACTCAACTCCAACTCCCTGGAGATTCCAGTCTCTGTCAAACTGTCTGATCCTGACAAACCCAGCACTCTTATACAACCTGCAACCTTTGATCTGCTACAGACCTCATGCAACCTCAATGCCTAAGAGATGAAGAAATCTCCTGAACTGATTAAGAAGTGTGAAGAACTGAATGATGCATAGTCTTTTATAAAATATACTACCTAGAAATAAAATTCCAAATGATTTCAGCAAATACTTGCAATATTGAGAGAGAAAAAAATTTGTACTATGATTTCCATTTTGTCTGTAAGTTCACTGATATGGTTTTATCTTAGAGCTGATAGGAAAATATATTTTGAAATAGGTATTTTTCAAGGTTTAACAATAATCACATATAGAATAGAAATAGGAGGTATAATATGTAAAAGAAAAACTTGATAAATACTTACAATTTAAGAAAATAAGCTTTTAAATTTCATAAAAATAAACAAATATATATTATACCATGAACTATAAATAAGTTTAATTCCCCTAAAAATTACATTCCAGTCTTGCTCAAAAAGAAAAACAAGGTCCTTTAGTTTACAAGATCTATTTTAAATATAAAAGACACACATTGAAAATAGTGATGTATCAGCCAAAGGAAGAAAAAAAGAAAACAAAATGGCAATGTGACACACAAACAGCATTTAGGAAAGCAGCATTTTGTTAAACAAAACAAAACAAAAAAAACAATATTTTAAATGCATGTACTTATTTATAAAAGAGACAGTAGACAAACTTTTCATAGCATCTAAATATACAAAGCAAAACTACTGTAATCAAGACAATTTTAACAAACTGCCATTATAATAACACATGCAGACAGATTATAATAAGACTTGTAACACAATTATAATATAAATGTAATGTAATTGTAATGTAGTAACATTGTTAACAGATTTAGGAGGAGGATAAGGAATAAAAGGAGAGGGGCAAGAGGGAAAGATATAAATATTATAAAGAGAGAGACAACTTTATTAGTTACCATGATTGTATATTATAGATTATTTACTTAGAAAACAATATAGAATAATATCTGAAAAACTTACAGATCTAACCAGAGAAGTTCAGTACAGAAGTGCCAGATAAAATATAAATATATTTCTTTTCTACAGTGATAGTTAATTTAAAAGAATGAAACAATCTCACTAGCAATAATGATGCATATGAAATAAAACTTTAGTTACTGAAAAATCATGCTACTCTCTAAAGTGAAAAACTCAATGATGTGCATTTTTCTAGAAACTGGAAAAAAACAAACTATAGTTCATTTAGAAAAGTAACTGTGTAAGAATCGTCATGAATTTTTGTAATAGATATTTAATGAGACAAAACATGTCATACAAGTTATAAAAAGATACAATAAAGTTACTGTAATTTAAAAAAAAAACACATCAGAAATTAAGTGGATAAACAGAGATGCTGGCCAGCTTCCCCCAAAGCAAGCAATCCAAGAGTACAAGTCAGATGATGCAATGCCTTTTCTGACCTAGCCGTGGAAGGCCCACATCATCACGTCCATAATATTCCATGGGTTATATACAACCCCCAATGGACAATGGTATAAATACTAAAAGGTGAGGACCATTGGGAGCAATTTTTCGAGGATGGTTACTATAAATTCTACTAAGAAACTTCTTAAAACTGTTTCTAAACATATAACAAATAAGTTAAACTTTTGTATATGTGATAAAAAAATGTGAAAAATAAATTAAAATATCAACAACAAATATAGGAAAAAATACTTACATGGATGAAAAGTTAGGGAAATTTTACACTTTTCATTTGGTTGTAGAATCCCATTCGGCATACTAAAAACGAATATGTTATCTTTGAAAAGTTTTTCATTTTCGCTAGTATCCAAAGTCCATTCCACAACTCTTCTTGAGAAATTATGTAAGACAAAATGCTGTTAACACAAAAAACATAAAAGAAGCAATTTATAAAAATTATAATACACAATATAAAATTTAGTTGGCATTACCATACAAACTTGATGAGCCTATGCACCAAATCAAGCAATTAGAAGTGATAATCATAGATGCAATGTTTAAAAAGTGATGTTAGACAAAGGGGCATGCAAATATGTTTATAGCTTATTAACAACTATGAAAAGTAAACAAAGGATGGAGACTGAGGTAAAACCAAACTATCAAAATAGTAATGCTAGCTAGGAAGGATTCAGAGTAACAAAAACCATCCTTCATGACGGCAAAAATGCAAAACGGTGCAGGCCCTTTGGAAGACAGTTTGGCAGTTCTTATAATGTTAAGGATGCATCTACCATATGACCCAACAATCCCAATCTGCAGTATTTACTTAAGTTAACAGAAAATTAATGTCCACACAAAAATCTGTAAATGAACATTTATAATAATAGCTTTGATCAGACTCACCAAATACTGTTAAAAATATATATATATATTTCCTTCAACTAATGAATGGATAAACAAATTGTGGTACATCCACACAATAGAAAAAAATTCAGTGATAACATGAATAAAGTATTCATAAAAAAGATAAATGAGTCCGGCCAATGTGGCTCAGTGGTTGAGCATCGACCCATGCACCAAGAGGTCACCAGTTTGATTCCCAGTCAGGACACGTGCCCAGGTTGTGGGCCTGATCCCCAGTGGGGGCATGCAGGAGGCGGTCAGTCAATGTTCTCTCTAACCAATGTTTCTATCTCTCCCTCTCACTTCTGCTCTCTTTAAAATCAATAAAGGAAAAAAAATTGTTAAAAAAAAAGATAAATAAATATTAAGTATGTTTTGCTAAATCAAACATGTTAAACCCAAATGGTTACAAATTATACGATTAAATTAATTACCTATCATTCTGGAAATGCAAAAGTATGGACATGGGGAAAAAATCAGCGGTTGCTAAGTGTTGGTGAGAGGAGAAATATTTGACTACAACGCTTACCCAGAGAATAATATGATGCAGCTGTTCTATAAGGTGTGGTAGATAAATTATTCTACACATTTTTCAAAACCCATAGAAGTATATAATATAAAGTGTGAACTTAAAAGTATATAAATTTTTAAATAGCCAAGATGTTGGGAATCCAGGATGCATCATATATTATGACAAACTGTATCATAAATGTATGAAATAACCTCACGGATGTTACTGGGAATGTGAAGGAATGGCCTAAATAACTTTGGAAAACTACATTTTTACTAAAGACTACAAAGCTAAACGCCAAACATTCCTCTTTATAAACACGGTGCTGTACTGTAGTTGGTAAATGAGGTAGCACTTCTGACAGACTACAGGTTAAAAATTATAAAACATTTTACTAGTGTACTAGGGTTAAAAAACAATTGAATAATTAATAAATAGGAGAGTCAGATTTGTCACTGTCAGAAAGAAGTGAAAATAAGCAAAGGAAAAAGAGTAGAATGGACTTCATAACGCTGGACTAGAATCACAGTTGGCAATGTAAGTTTGAACTCATGTTGAGAGAGAGGATATAGATACAAAGTGTAGATGGGTAGTTAATTAAATATGTATGTGATAGATGATAAAGATAGACAGATAATTATAAATATATATGTATTCATGGGTTAGTATACACAAATATATTTCCTTGCTCTATCTGCTGAATGGGTCCAGAACATGTGATATGCAGTAGCATCTAGCACACCTTGGTTTCTAAATATCATTCTCCCATAAAATGTACTGATGTTTCTCAGAGAAAATGTTAATTCAGAGCTTGAACAAATAAAATAAAAAGTTATCCTACCAGGGGTGGGGAATGTCTGGCCCACATGCCACATAAGGCCCACGAAATCAATACCAGCTAACATCACACGCCTCACCAAATTAGCCTGACCAAATATAGCAGGCTAATTTTTAAGTTGATAATTTTGTATGGCCTGTGAAAGATGTTATAAATATCCAAATGGCCCTTGGAAGAAAATAGGTTCCTCACCGCTGGTAAACCATTTGTAGTACCAGAAAATAAGAGAATGCTTAAAAATCATAATGCTGAGAGTATGTCAAAGGTCCAATCTAAAAGAGCTCCCAATGGCCGTTGAAACATTTTTAGCAACAAAATAATATAGTATTGGGTTATAACTGACAGTATAAATTAAATATATGTAAGTTTATAGTGACATATTATATAATAAGATAAATAAATAAATGGAGGAAGGAAATAATTTTTCTTACAGAACAATTCCAAAAACTATCCCCTTCCAGAAGGTCAAACTTGACCCTATACCCCTTGGGTGTGGGCTTAAATTGACAACTCACTTTCAAAGTATAGAATATGGAAAGGAAAACATAGTTGGAAGCTTGGTATATATATCAAAGTCATGTTGGTATCATGTACTCTCTTCACATGATGTGACAAAAATAACATTTTGCCTCCCTGACATTCTTCTCAAACCCATGGAAAATAAGAACTCAGTCTAGTCAGGGGCTAAATATCAAACAAACCTAAATTAAAGAACATTCTCACATGACTTGGGGTGGTGAATACACAATACAAATATACAGATGATGTATTATAGGATTGTACAGCTAAATCTATATAATTTTATTAGCCAATAAACCCAAAAAAATTCAATAAAATTTTTTTTAAATGTTAGGCTTGGCTAGTGTGGCTCAGTTGGTTGAGCATCCTCCTGTGTGCCAGGAGATTACTGGTTTGATTCCCAGTCAGGGCACATGCCCAAGTTGTGGGCTCGATCCCCAGTAGGAAGTGTGCAGGAGGCAGCTGATAGATGTCTCTCTCTCATTGATGTTTCTATCTCTCTCCCCCTCTCTGAAATCAATAAAAACATATTTTAAAAAATGTTAGGGGGATACAGTACAAAGTAGATAGATAGATAGATATGAAAACGTTTATAAGAATAACTGTTATGGGGAAACAAGGTGTGGAACACTGTGTATAGAATTATATATGTATGTATTTTATATGCACACACACACACACACATACACACACATATATACACACACATGTGTAAGTGTATATGTATATACATCCCATGTTCACAGAAAACCATTAAAGTGGTCCATAAAAAACTGGTAATGGTAGTGCATTTTGGACAGAAGAGAAATATAATTGTATAATTATATATCTTTAATTGTATAATTATATATAATTTTGTATTCTAGAATTGTATACCATGGGCATATAATAAATAAATAAATATAATTCATATCTCATTTTAGTTTACATTTTTTGACAACCAGATGTTAAACAGATATTTATTTACCTACTGGCTATTTCTATTTCTTATCTCCTGAATATCCTTTTCATGCTCTTGCATAAGATATAGCTTCCTAAATCTCCTATAATAATATTTTTAAATATGTTTTTTAATTGACTTTTTAGAGAGAGAGAGAGATAGAAACATCGATGTGAGAGAGAAACATCAATCGGCTGCCTCCTGCATGTCCCCTCCTGGGGATCCAGTCCGCAACCTGGGCATGTGCCCTGACTAGGAATTGAACCGGGACTTCTCAGGGCATGGGATGATGCTCAATCCACTGAGCCACACCAGCCTGGCTCCTATAATAGTATTAAAATCTATAAGCATTTTGGAAAAACCTACAATATTTCATAAAGTAGAGCTTCCTGTTACTATGCTACCAGTGGCCAAGCTTTCATTTAAGGAACTGCTGTTCCAGCTTATACCATTGTTGCCTAAGCAAAAATTTCCCTTGGTACCAAGTGCAGCAAGGGAGATGCATTGAGGCACAAAAGAGTTCCCACATTTGAAAAGCTACAACCATAATGAATCTTGGAGAGGAAGAAATTTTTATCCTGGGGATCTAAAGGCTAATAATTATTAGTGTACATTTTTCTAGGTCTATGATGCATATGTGTAAGGGACAACACAAAAATGTCATACTGAAGTGAAAATAAGAAATAATCTTTCTAATGCAACTTATATACTACACTTAAATAGTAAAGAATTTAGAAGGTGATGACATGCTGTTTTTGTGGTCATTTCCCCCTCATGTTCTTTTAGTCATAGAATTTGCAACTATCTGGTGGTTTTGTCTAAGGCCTTCTTTTTTTCCCTTTTTATTTGATAAGGCATAATCTTGGTTTTCAAATACCAAGTTTGTCCAGTAGAGCAAACTGGAGTCAAAAGAACCACATTAGACCTATATTAACCTTTCCAAGGAACGGGAGGGCCCCAGCATAGCAGTACCTTCCGCTGTCCTGTCAACCTCCAGCAATGTGGAATTTCTTCACTGATTTAAACCTTGGTCTGGGCAGGTGAAAAAGGATTTTGAATATCTATTTCAGAAGTGTACTGTGAAGTTTAAATTCATTAACATGCCAACCTCTTAGTACGGTGCCTTGCACTAGGAAGGCACCTAACAAATTGTGACATCATCATCATCATCATCATCATCATCAAGAAGATGAATACAAGAATGTGGCCATTTATCAAAGTGAAGGCAGAATAGATATAGAAACCACATATGAATCTGCATAGCACAATTCTGGGAACATGAGTGTCTTTAAAAAAACATTTCCTGACAAGTTGCAGACAAACAGAACAAAACCAAAAGCAGCTATTTTGCATGCTATTTCAAGTGACCTCATCCCAGAGGTCAGAGGTCTTGCTTCCTCTTCCCATTTCTTACAGAATACCACAATGGACATAACCAACCAGAGAAGGATAAGCATTAGTAGGAAAAATTAATTCACTAGAAAACACTTTGGTGGTTTCTTAAAAAGTTGAGCATAAAATTACCACATGACCCAGCACATCCACTCTAGGTATATTCCCAAGATAACTGAAAACATAGGCGTGCATGTTTTTTTTTTGAAGTGATGAAAATGTTCTGAAATGAGATAGCAGTGATGGGGGCACAACATAGTGAATATATTAAAAACCACTGAGTCATACATTTTAAAATGGCAAATTGTATGTTATGTGAATTATATCTTGATTAAAAAAATAAATGAATTCACTGAAAGCTGCACAGGTTACCCATATTTAATATGATGCAATGTAATTTGAAAGAATGATTTTATGTTGTCCATGAAAGAAAAAAGCAAATGGAATAATAGCACCAAAGACAAGTTGCACATAAACTAGTAACAGTTAAAATAAAAAACAAAAATGAAAGAGGAAGGAGAAGGAAAAAAAGAACATTCTGAGAAATATGCCAGACCACTACTCTTTAAAATTGTTAAGGTCATAAAATTTTTTTGCAATGATGAGGGTCTGTCACATATCAGAGAAAAATAAATGAAATATAGAATCGTGGACTGGACTCTAGGACAGTAAAAGGACATTAGTAAAAACTAGTGAAATCCAGCACTAGCCAGTTTGGCTCAGTGATTAGAGCATCAGCCCAAGGACCAAAGTGTTCAATTCCCAGTCAAGGACACGTACCTGGGTTGTAGGTTCAATCCCCAGCCCTGGTCCGAGTTGTGGGAGGCAACCAATCAATGTGTTTTTCTCACATCAATCTCTCTTTCTCTCTCCCTCCCTCCCTTTTTCCCTCTATCCCTCCCTCCCTTTTACTCTCTTAAAAAAAAATTCAATGGAAAAAATAACTTCGGGTGAGGATTAACAACAACAAAAAAAATTGGTGATATCCAAACAGAATGTGTTTAGTTAATATTATTGCACTAATGTTAATTTCTTAGTTTTGATAAATGTTCTATGGTCATATAGTTGTTAACATTACAAAAAAGGTCTGTGAAAAGTATACAGAACCTCTCAGCACTGTCTTTGTAATGTTTCGATAAATCTGGGAGTTATGGGGATAACTTGTGTACAGACTCATCTTTCCAGTGCAACATACTATTAAAGTAAAACCTTAAACTAGGTGTTTTTTTTTAATATGTTTTTGCTAATTTTAGAGAGAGAGGGAGAGAGAGAGAAACACCAATGTGAGACAGAAGCATCAATTGGTTAACTCCTAACCTATATACACCCCAGTCGGCGATCTAACCCGAAACCCAGGCATGAGCCCTGACCAGAAATCGAACATGGGACAACATCCAACCAACTGAGCCACACTGGCCAGGGCTAAACTAGGTTTTTAAATTTATTTTTAAATATGTTTTTATTGACTATTTGTAGAGAGAAGTATAGAAACATCGATGTGAGAAAGAAACATAAATCAGCTGCCTCCTGCACAGCCCCACCACGGATCAAGCCCGCAACTCAGGCATGTGCCCTGACCTGGAATGGAACCCGGACCTCTCAGTCCATGGAACAATGATCAATCCACTGAGCCTTCCCAGCCAGGATAAACCAGGTGTTTTTTTTAAATTAACTTTACTCTTCAAAAATTTGAAGAGTATAGAATGACTCATACAATTGTAACCACAACAAAATGTACTTTGTTTCTTTCTAAAGCATGATAGCTTTAAAATTTTTAAAATTTTTAAAATTATTGAATTGTACTCCAGATGACTCTTAGTACTTAAATGTTTAGTTGTAATATCTGCATACTATATAACAAGTTCACTTGTACCTTATAAAGAAAACATTATCTCTTAAAACTGAAGGTGGGCATGAAATCATACTATTTGAATGACTCATTTTTCTCATTTTGAAATTGAGTAAATGATATAAGATCTTTAAAATACAATCGCTAAGATCTGAAAACAGCCCAAGTGTCCATCAGTAGATGAGTGGATAAAAAAGCTGTGGTACATATACACAATGGAGTAGTATGCACCTGTAAGAAAGAAAGACCTCTTCTTTTTTGAGGCGACATAAAGGGACCTGGAGAGTATTATGCTAAGTGAAACAAGCCAATCAGAGAAAGACAAATATCACATAATCTCATTTATTTGTGGAATATAATGAACAAAACAAACTGATAAACAAAATAGACCCAGAGACATAAAACTAGGGTACAGACTGACAAACCTCAGAAGAAGGGGAGACATGGGTGGTGGGGAGAGATAAACTACAGAATTTATATGTATGTATGCATAACAATGGACATAGACAACAATGCTGGGGATGGGGGCGGGGGGTAGATTGGGAGGAGGGTGTCAGTGGGGGAAAAAGGAGAAACATCTGTAACAAAAATAAATTAATTTTTGAAAAATCTCTAAAATATTGTCCAATTTCCATATTCTATCCTAAGAATAGAACCAATATAGTCAGCTATAGAGAAACATTGCTTAGTTTGTCTAGTATGTGTTATATAATTTTTTATATTTTTATCAAAATAATACTGTACACAGGTTACAGAAATAGCTCAAAAATGCCTATAAAAAACAGCTGTCCCACTCAACCTCTCCTCCAATAGTTCTGCTTCCGAGAAGCAACCAATTTGGATTTTCTCTAATAGTTGTAACTTACTCTAAATGTGATGCTGATATGGCTTACTTTAGGTTTTTTATGACTGCCATAACAAATGACCACATTGTGGTTTAAAACAACAAAAATTTCCTATATTACAGTGTTGTAGGGTTAGAAGTTCAACACGGATCTCACTGAATTAAGATCACGGTGTTAGAGAAAACTATGACACTTTCTGGAGGCTCTAGGAAAGCATCTCTTTCCTTGCCATTCCCAGTTTCTAGAGGTCAGACACATTCTTTGGCTGGTGGCCTCCTCCTTCCACTATTTTCAAATTCAGCAACATCGCACCTCTCTGCCTTTCTTCTATCATCACATTTCCTTCTGGTCACAGTCAGAAAAGGTTCTGTTTTTAATCACTCGTGTGAAAAGACTGAGAACACCTAGGTATTCTAGGATAATCTCCCTCACTCAGGGCCCTTAATCTTAATCACATTCCACATCAGCAAAGTAACTTTTGCAAAATAAGGTAGTGTATTCACAAATTCTGAGGATTAAGAATTAAACAAATTCAGAGGAAAAAATTTTGACTACCACATGGCTATTTCATGATTTATCAGATTCAGAGATAATGTCTTAATTGCCCACTAGTAAAAATTGAGGATTTAGCTCGTTTGCACTACCTCCACTCCTTTCTCCACTTTCCAATTTTGGATATCTGTATTATTTTAATTCTTCCAGTAGTCACCTGGCAACTTTAAACAATGTATTTATACCTTTAGTTCTTTTTCTGTCAACTTGAGACAACTCCTTTTAATTACCCACTATGTAAGATGAGTTTTACTCCTGTTCCTTCTACCATCCCCAATCCTGTCAAATTCACCTTCATACACACAGTGTATGTATCATACACATCACTTTACATATAAAATGTGATACGTGATCACATTTTAATTCTGCTACATAAACATCTTGACTTCTATATTATATATTTTATTCTTAGTGTAAATATCACTCATGCCAAATCAAGATGTGTATTAGAGTCACAGTTCCTTCTCTGTGGGGCCAATGTGAGTCCTCTGTCAATCAAGAGAGAAAACTCTCATTGTCTAAATTGAATTTTATCACAACAAGTGAAGAAGATTACAATGATATAAAATAATCTTGCATTTATGAAGGAATTGTTTTTCTCCAAAATTCAAACTAATTAAGTTCCTTTGTAGCTCATATACAAGGTCTTTTGCACCCTTGAAATTATATTACACTTAGAAGTCTTACTGACTTTTTATGCTTAAAACAGTCACAGTTTAATTTCAGAAGAGCTCCTTTATTGTTCTCTAACTATAATTGCATATCCACTTAGCTATTACTTTATGGGTGCAATATTAAATAATTTCTCCAGAATAATTTTTGTAAAGATACAAAGGTTCAAAACGTGTTGTAAGAAAAGTAATCTACAGGGATTGGCAAAAGTAGGTTTACAGTTGTTCATATGGAAAAATATATAATACAAGAATAAATAATGGCCCTGGTCATTGTGGCTCAGTTGGTTGGAGCATTGTCCCATACACTGAAAGGTCTCAGGTTTGATTCCCTGGTCAGGGGATGTACCCAGGTTTTGGGTTTATACCCAGGTTGTAGGTTTGGGGTTTATACCCAGGTTGTAGGTTTATACCCAGTTGGGGTGCATTCAGGAGGCAACTAATAGATGTTTCTCTCTCTCTCTCCCCCTTTCCCTTCTTCTATTTCTAAAATCAATGAAAACATGTCCTCGGGTGAAGATTAAAAAAAAAAAAAAGAATCAATAACAATACAACAATAAATTCTGTATTTTATGTACTCACAACTGCAAACCTATCTTTGCCCATCCCTGTGTAAGACAAAAAATAAAACCACAAATATAAATTTCTACAATGTATACATGCGCTCCCTTCTTATACATTCTCTTATTTTTCTTTCTAGATAGATTCATAATTAGAAGAGAGGCAGAAATATCTATTAAAATAAAAGAGAAGATTATCATAGAAGTAACTTTATTATATACCTAGATTTTTTCATTTTTATCATTGCCTCACAAGGCATTTACTTTATGGAAGATATTTGATTAATTTTAATCATAGTCCGCATTTGTACAAGGAGAGGGGGATAATTTAATTATATTCAAAATATTTTGAATAGTCCTATTAAATATATACATACATGAAATAAATGCCTTTATATGTGTTTGTATACTTGGATAATTATGAGAAATATGAGGTATACATGTAACATACAGCATGGGGCAAAGTAGGTTTATAGTTGTAAGTATGCGAAACACAGAGTTTATTCTTATATTTTTATTTATTAATTATTGTATTATTTTCCATACAAACAACTATAAACCTACTTTTGCCCCACCCAATATATAGACATACTTCTGAGAAATGAGATATGTGTATATATGTACACAAATTACATATGTATACATATGCAAGTTCTTTAAAAATGAGACTTCTTAAAACATATGCTTCATAATAACTCAATAAACTAAAAACCATAATCAGAAAAACTGTTGAAAACTGCACCAATTCTCCATACATACCTGAGTTCTTGCGGTCCTTTTCTTGAGATTCACAGCAAATGGTGGAATATTAAATATAAATTCACTTTTGGATAATTTCACTGGTGCCTCTAATACTATGATAAGAAAGTAAATAGACTGATAAAATATTAATAGATATAAGCTCATAGATAATTCTTACTATAATTTTCAACATGAAACAATAAAATATACCATCATTTTCTATTTTTATATTGCCAGCAAGACAAAAACTTAAATTATGAACATTTTTAGAATATCTTGGTTTATCACATTTATAAAATTCCAATTTTGTATTTTTAATAGTAATTAAGTACAAGTAAAATTTTTAAAACTACCCTTGAGACAATAAAAGAATATAAAATATAAGAAATATTAAGTTGAGAAAAAAGGGAACAAAGTTGAAATGATCTCCTTACTGAGTTTAACCAATGCAGTACAGAAGTGAAAAGAAACATAGCAGAAAAAATTATGGGAATATAGAAAAATATATAGATTGCATACCATAACATTTATGTATGAAAAAACAAAATGGCTATTCTATTGAAGATTAGAATTGGTAAAACCTGTAAAAACACATTAAAGGAGGTATTATTACCCATTGGAAAATCCTCTTTTAAAAAAAATTTATTAAATGTATTGCAGTGACATTGGTTAATAAAATTATACAGGTTTCAAATGTGTACAATTCTATGATACATCATCTCTGTATATTGTATTGTGTGCCACACACCCAAAGTCAAATTATCTTCTGTCACTATGTATTTTTCCCCCTTTACCCTTTACTAACCCCCAACAACCTTCGCTCTGGTAACCACCATACTGTTGTCTGTGTCTATGGATTTTTGTTTGTTTATTTTTCTTGTTTGTTCATGTGTTGCTTTCATTTTTATATCCACATATGAGTGAAATCATAAAATTCTTGACTTTTTCTGTTTGATTTATTTCATTTACCATGTTATTTTCAAGATAGCCAAAGCAATTCTGAGAAAAAAGAACAAAGCTAAGCCCCAGCTGAGTGTCTTCTCAGTTGGTTGGAGCATAGTCCCATACATCGTAGGGTTGCAGATTGGATTCCTGCTCAGGTTACACACCTAGGTTGCAGGTTTGATCCCTGGGGGGGGGGGGGGGGGACACATACAGGAGGCAACCAATCAACATTTCTCTCTCACATGGACATTTCTCTCTTTCTGTCTGTCTCTCTTTCTTTCTCTCTCCCTTCTGCTCTCTCTAAAATCAATAAACATATCCTTGGGTGAGAATTAAAAAATATAAATAAAAGAACAAAGCCAAAGGTATCACACTCCCTGGCTTCTAATTATGCTACAAAGTGAGAATTATCAAAACAGCATGGGTCCTGGCTGGTTTTGCTCAGTGGCTAGGGTGTCAGCCCACAGACCAGAGAGTCCTTGAGTTCGGTTCCTGCTAAAGGCATGTACCTTGGTTGTAGTTTGTGCCCGGCCTTTGTTGGGGTTGTGTGGGTGGCAGCCACTAGATGTGTCTCTCTCACATCGATGTTTTTCTCTCTCTCTCTTCCTCCCTTTCTCCCTCGTGCTCTATCTGAAGATAAATTAAAAAAAAAAAAAAAAAAACCTCCTCAGGTGAGGATAAAAAAAAACACACAAAACAGCATGGTATTGGCAGAAAAACAGACACACAGACCAATAGAACAGCACCAGCGGGTCCAGAAATAAACCCACATATAAATAAGAAAACAATTTTCAAAAAGGAGCCAAAAACATACAATGGAAAAAAGAAAGTCTTTTAAATAAATGGTATTGGGAATATTAGAAAGACACATGCAAAAAAATGAAATTAGACTGCTATTTGTATCCACAGACAAAAATTAACTCCAAATGAGCAAAGACCTAAATATAAGACCTGAAACAATAAAATACATAGAAGAAAACATAGGTACCAAACTTATGAACATTTGTCTTAGAGAGTATTTTATGAATCTGACCCCAAAGGCAAGGAAACTAAAATCAAAAAAATAAATGAATGGGAGTATACCAAACTAAAGTGTTTCTGCACAGCAAAGAAACCAACAGAACAAAAAGGCAACCAACTGAATGGGAGAGAATATTTGCAAACAACACGTCCTATAAGGAGTTAATATCCAAATATATAGAAAAACCCTATAACTCGACAGCAAAACAAAACAAAAAACAATAATCTGATTAAAATTAGCAGAGGGCCTAAACAGACACTTCTCCCAAGAAGACATACAAAGGGCCAACAGATACATGAAAAGAGGCTCAACTTCACTAGCTATTAAGGAAATGCAAATCAAATCCTATATTTTTAATAGATTTATTTTTTAGAACAATTTTAGATTCACAGAAATACTGACTGGAAGATATAGAGATTCCCTATATAACCTCTGCTCCTATCCATGCATAATCTCCTCCATTATCAACATTCTCTACCACAGTGACATATTTGTTACAATTGATGAACCTACAATGATACATTATAATCCAAAACCCACTGTTTACATTATGGATCCCTTATAGTGGTGTACATTCTATAGGTTTGAACAAATGTATAGTGTTATATACCCACCCTTATAGTATATACAGAGGAGAATAATTGCCCTCAAAATAATCTGTGGTTTGCCTATTCATCTCTCTCTCACACATCCCCTGGAAACCACTGATCTTTTTATTGTCTCCATAGTTTTGCCTTTTCCAGAATGTCATATAGTTGAAATGATATTATATGTTGCCTTTTGAGATTGGATTCTTTCACTTAATAATATAAATGTAAGGTCCATGGGATCTGTATCAGTGACTTCATAGCTCGTTTCTTTTTAGTGCTGAATAAAAACCCACTGTCAGAGTACGACAAAGTCTATCCATCTATTGAAGAACTTGGCTACTTCCAAGATTTAACCATTATAAACAAATCTGCCATAAACATTTGTGTACAGGTTGTCATGGGACATACATTTTCAGCTCTTTTGAGGAAATACCAAAGAGCACAATTTAAGGGATTGTATGTTGAATACGTTTAGAAACCACCAAATGTTTTTTTCCAATGCAGCAAATCATTTACCATTCCCATCAGCAATGTAATCTCACCAGCAACCACATTCTCACCAGTTCTTGTTGTTCCGTATCTTCTCCAGCGTTTAGTATAGCAGTACATCACTGTTGTTTCAATTTGCATTTTCCTGATGACATATGATTTGAAGTATTCTTATATTCTTATTTTCCATTTTTATATCTTCCTCAGTGAGGTGTATGTTCACGTTTGCCTGATTTTTAACTGGTTTGTTTTCTCCTTGAATTTGTTGAGTTATCTCTATAGTTTGAATAGCAGTTCTTAGACATGTCTTTTGCAAATATTTTCTCCCAGCCAGTAGCTTGTCTTTTTGGCAACTGACAGTGTTTTTGTTGTTGTTGTTGTTGTTTTGCAAAATAGGTATTTTCAATTTTAATAAAGTCCTGCTTGTCAATTATTTCTTTCAAGGATCTTGCCTTTGTTGTTGTACCTAAAATGTCATTGTCAAATCCAAAAACATCTAGACTTTTCCTATGTTATCTCCTAAGAGTTTTATAATTTTGGATTTTATATTTAGGTCCATGATGCATTTTGAGTTAATTTTTGTGAAGAATTTAAGGACTTTGTTTAGATTCTTCTTCTTCATCTTCTTTTTTTCTTTGTGGATATCCAGTTGTTCAGCATCAAATTTTTAAAAGAAAAACCTTTTCTGAATTGTATTGCCTGCACTCCTTTGTCAAAGGTCAGTTGACTACATTTCTGTGGATCTATTTCTGGGCTGTCTGTTCTATTCCACTGATCTATTGGTCTATATTTTTGCCAATACCAAACTTTCCTGATTACTGTAACTTTGTACTAAATCTTGAAGTCCTCCACAGTGTCAGTCCTCCAACTTTGTTCTCCAACTTTGTTCTCCTTCAAAACTATGTGGTCTATTGTGGGTCTTTTCCCTTTCCATATAAATTTTGAATCAATCTGTCAATATCCACAAAATAACATGCTGAGAATCTGATTGGGGTTGCCTTAAATTTCTAGATCAAGTTGGAAATAACTGCCTTCTTGATGACAGTTATTTCCCTACATATGAACATAAAATATCACTTCATTAATTTAATTTTTCTTTGATTCCTTTGATAAGAGTTTTGTAGGTTTCCTTATATAGATCTTGTTAACATGTGTGTTTCATTTTGGAGGCTGCTCATGTAAATATTTAATTTCAAAATCCATTTGTTCATTGCTGGTATGTAGGAAAGCAATTGACTCTGTATATTAACCTTGTATTCTGAAACCTTACTAGAGCTCCAAAAGATTTTTTTATCAATTATTTTAGATTTTCTACATAGAAAATCATGTCATCTGTGAATAAAAACAGTTTAGTCCTGTTTTCCTAATCTGTATAAATAATTCCTAAGTTTTAAATTGCACATTGTGAGTTGTGTGATAAAATCTTGTGGCATTCCACTCTGTTCTGCTGAGATGTGAATCATCCCTCTGTCCAGCATAACCACACTGTATAGTCTCCCAGCCTTTTAGTAACTTAATAGCTGTCTTGATTAGCAGATCGACTGTCACAGTATCACAATGCTTGTGTTTATGTAACTTTTATTTTATTTAATAACACCACATTCACATAAATCATAAATTTTATTAGAGTATGTTGTTATAATTGTTCTACTTCATTATTAGTTATGTTGTTAATATGCTACTGTGCTGAATCTATAAATTAAACTTTATAATAGTATGTATGTATATGTACAGAAAAAAACATAGTACACATAGGGTTTGCCACTATCTGTGGTTTCTGGCACCCAATGGGCATCTTGGAACTTATCCCCTTGGATAAAGGGGGACTACTATAAACAGATCACTGACATCTGTCAGATGACTACAAAACCTCAGTGATAAAGGCAAAGTTCATGAACAGATAATTTACATAAGAAATATACAATACCAAAGATAGAAAATTATAATCTGTAAGCTATCAAAAAATAAATATTCAAATTATATGCTTTTTTACTTTCTTTTATTTTAATTTACTTATTTTTTTATTGATTTGTTTTTGTTACAGATTTTTCTCCTTTTTCCTCCATTGACACCCTCCTCCCCATTCCCCCCTGCCCCATCCCAGCTTTGTTGTCTATGTCCATTGGTCATGCATACATGCATATAAGTTCTGTGGTTTATCTCTTTTCTTCCCAACTCCCCCTCCTCTGAGGCTTTTCAGTCTGTACCCCACCTCTACGTCTCTGGGTAAATTTAGTTCATCAGTTTGTTTAGTTCATTATATTCCACAAATAAGCGAGATCATGTGATATTTGTCTTTCTCTGCTTGGCTTGTTTCATTTAGCATCATACTCTCCAGGTCCTTCCATGCCATCTCAAAGGATAAGAGATCTTTCTTTCTTACAGCTACATAGTATTCCACTGTGTACATGTACCATAGCTTTTATATCCACTCCTCTACTGATGGACACTTGGGTTGTTTCCAGATCTTAGCTACCGTAAATAGTGCTGCTATGAACATGGGGGTACATATATTCTTTCTGATTGGTGTTTCAGGCTTCTTAGGGTATATTCCTAAAAGTGGGATCACTGGGTCAAATGGCAGTTCAATTTTTAACTTTTTGAGGTAACACCATAGTGTTTTCCACAGTGGCTGCACCAGTCTGTAGTCTCACCATCAGTGTATTAGAGTCCCCTTTTCTCCACACCCTCGCCAACACTTGTTTGATGATTTGTTGATGGCGGCCATTCTGATAGGTGTGAGGTGATACCTCATAGTTGTTTTAATTTGCATCTCTCTGATGATTAGTGACGTTGAACATTTCTTCATATGTATCTTGGCCATTTGTATGTCCTTTAGGGAGAGGTGTCTATTTAGGTCCTCTGCCCATTTTTTAATTGGGTTCTTTGTCTTCCTTTTGTTGAGCTGTATGAGCACTCTATATATTTTGGAAATTAACCCCTTATCTGATGCATCATTGATGATTATAGTCTCCCAAATAGTGGGATCTCTTTCCATTTTGGTGGTTGTTTCTTTTGCTGTGCAGAAGCTTTTTAGTTTGATGTAGTCCCATGTGTTCATTTTCTCCTTTGTTTCTCTTGCCTTAGGTGTATCAATAAAAATTCTGCTGCATATGATGTCTGAACTTTTGTTGCCTGCATTTTCTTCTAGAATTTTTATGGATTCACAAGTTGCATTTAAGTATTTAATCCATTTCGAGTTTATTCTCATGTATGGTGTAAAGTCGTGGTCTAGCTTCATTTTTTTTTGCAAGTAGCTGTCCAATTTTTCCAACACCATTTATTGAAGAGAGTGTTGACCCCACTGTATGCTCTTGCCACCTTTGTCAAATATTAATTGAGCATATTGTCTTGGGTCAGTTTCTGGGTTCTCTATTCTGTTCCATTGATCTATCTGCCTGTTCTTATACCAGTACCAGGCTATTTTGACTACAGTGGCTTTATAGTATAACCTGAAATCTGGTAATGTGATCCCTCCTACTTTCTTCTTCTTTTTCAAGATTGCTGTGGCTATTCAGGGTCTTTTTTGGTTCCATATAAACTTTTGAAGTGTTTGTTCTACTTCTGTGAAATATGTTGTTGGTATTTTGATGTGGATTTCATTGAATCTATAGATTGTTTGGGTAATATGGACATTTTAATGATGTTAATTCTTCCAGTCCATGAACAAGGTATATGCTTCCACTTTTTTTTTTTTTCCTCACCCGAAGATATTTTTCCATTTTTTGTACAGATAGAGTGGGAGGGAGAGAGAGGAAGGGAGAGAGAGAGAGAAACATCAACATGAAGGGACACATCGAGTGGCTGCCACCCGCACGACCAACCAGGGCTGGGGACAAACTGCAACCGAAGTACGTGCCCTTAGCGGGAACCGAACCCGGGTCTCTCCGGACCGCAGGCCGACGCTCTAACCGCTGAGCCAAACTGGCCAGGGCATGCTTCCACTTTTTTTATCTTCCTCTATTTCTTTGTTCAATGATCTGTAGTTTTCTGTGAAGAAGTCCTTTACTTCTTTTTTTTTTTTTAATGAATTATTTATTTATTTAATTTTTTGTTACAGATATTTTACCTTTTTACCCCATTGGCACCCCCCCACCCCACCCCCCCTCCACCCTGTCCCCGGCTTAGTTGTCCATGTCCATTGGTCATGCATACATGCATATAAGTTCTGTGGTTTATCTCTTCCCACCCCCTCACCCCCCATCCCCTCTTCTGAGGGATGTCAGTCTGTGCCCTACTTCCATGTGTCTGGGTCTACGGCCATACCACCCTGAACGCGCCCGATCTCGTCTGATCTCGGAAGCTAAGCAGGGTCAGGCCTGGTTAGTACTTGGATGGGAGTCCTTTACTTCTTTTGGTTAAGTTTATTCCTAGGTATTTTAATTTTTTTGCTGCGATGGTAAATAGGATTGTCTTTTTAGTTTCTCTTTCTGTGATTTCATCATTGGTGTATGAGAATGCCGCTGATTTCTTGACATTAATTTTGTATCCTGCTACTTTGTCAAATTCATTTATTAAGGCTAGTAGATTTTTGATGAAATCTTTAGTGTTTTCTATGTCAATATCATGTCATCTGAAAATAATGACAGTTTCACTTCCTCCTTTCCAATTTGAATCCCCTTTATTTTTTCTTCTTGTCTAATTGCTGTGGAAACAACATACTTTTAATCACATAGATAGGTATCCAAATTCCTTTCTCTCAATGCTGTTAGAGTTTATACTGGAGGAGGGGTAAAAGAGCACAACTCTTCACAAAAGCCCTTTTGCAAAATGCATCAAGAGCTTTAACATGCATGTGCTTTAGAAAAAAATGCAGCCAATTTAGAGAATCTCACTTACAAAAATTATCTAAATAAGGAAAAGAACCATATGATATCACTCACATTTTGGATATAAAACAGAAAGTAACAAACAAACAAACAAACTCATAGACATAGGCAACGATATGACAGAGATAACAGAATGGTGGTTACCAGAGGGGAAGGGGGTTGGGGGGAGGATAAAGAAGGTAAAGGGAGTCAAATATGTGATTGATGGAGGTTAGACTGGGTGGTGAACACACAATGTAATATATAATGTAATAATTGTACACTTGAAACCTACATAATTTTATTAACCAATGTCACTCTAGTAAATGCAAAAAAGATTTTTAAAAAGAAAAAAACATAAATAGAAAAAAGTGTTATACACAAAAATGTTCACTACTAAAATATTTATATTAACAAGAAAATTAAAAAAGGAAAGAACCTAAATGCTTCTGATTATGGTTAAATAATCTATAAGACACACTTACTGCATGAAATATTCTGCAATACTTACCAGTCTTAATTTCTATAATTGATAAGGGTCTATAAAATCTAAGTAAAACTTTATATTAAGTGTGAACAGATTTCAACTTAATATAGGCAGCGAGATCTCAAATATGTTAAATTAAAATATCAACATATTAATAATAGTGCATTCTAAATATTCATATTGCAAATGATATTTACTATGTTTCTACATTTTCCAATTTTCCATAATGATGAAACATTAATTGAACTTTATGGAGCCTCCTTACCAGCCGTGAAATTCTTAATTCTGTATTTTAAGTGGAGTAAAATAAATATCTATATTGTATATGCTACTTTAATGAGGTTTCTCTTATTAGGTGCCAAGTGTAATTATTAACTAATCACTATTTTATTATTGAGAACTTAATATCAGAACTATGAAAACAAAATATAGCATAATATGGTATAGATTAAACTTAACTTTTCTGAAAAATACTTAAGCATATATTATGAACTGCAAAACAAAAGCTTTTCAAAACTACATTTTGCATAATGCATTGATGATTTTATACTTGAATATTGGAAGAAAATGAGTAAATAAATATTCAACAAATACTTCAAAATTTTAAAATACTAATCTTTCTTAACATGTAGGTAGTCCTTTAGTAACCTATCCCTTTAGTAACCAAAATATTGGAAAAATATTTTCTAAAATAGAATTTCTATCCTCTCATTTTATAGCCAATGTATTTTATTTTAATGGTTTAAATTTTAATATAATCATTTAAAAACTGCCCATGCAATGAATAAAGTACTGAACTGACCTTTTAAAAAAAACTTATATCCTGCTTTTTAAGCAAGTGTCACTCATTAGAGATTATATCCATGCTATATATCAAAACTCAGTCTCACAGACCCATATTTTAAGTGAAACACAGAGTAATCACATCATAATTTTACTTTCTAAAGATTAATATTTTAAAAAATATATTCCAATTTTTTAAACTTTTAGCTGCTTCAGTGTAAATGTTTGGCTTATGCAATTCACTTGAATACTTCATAATACGTACCAGTAGCTTGAACATAACATGGTCGAATAAGAGGGATCCGAGGCATAGGAGATTTTGACAAATGATATTGAGTGTACAGTTTTGAAGATTCAAAGAAATTAATTCCAACGTGAAAGGTAAATTCATACGTTGTCACCTGACAGACAAAATGTACGTTATATCTGTGATTTTTTGCTATAAAAATTGGTGATATTTTTATTGTCTATATGTAAAGTGTATAATTTGATTTGCTATACATATATACATAATGAAATTAACACCACCACTAAGCTAATTAACATGTCTATTACCTCATATAGCCAGCTTTTTTTGTCTTAGTTTTTGTGATAAGAATACTTAGGATCTACCCTCTTAGCAAATTTAAAGTGTAAAATACAGTATTGTCATCAGAACTACCATATTACCCAGCAATCTTACTTCTGGGTATTCAGCCTAAGAAAATGAAATCAGGATCTCAAAGAGGTACCTGCACTATATTTCCTACAACATTATTACTAACAGTCAAGGTACGGAAATAACCTAAATGTCCATGAAAGGATAAAAGGATAATGAAAATGTAGTATATACATGCAGTGAAATGTGTTTAAGCTTTTAAAACAGAAGAATAGCCCGGATGGTGTGGTTCAGTGGTCGAGCATCAACCCATGCACCAAGAGGTTGCTGGTTCGATTCCCGATCAGGGCACATGCCCAGGCTGTGGGCCCGATCCCCAGGGGGGGCATGCAGGAGGCAGTTCTCTCTCATCAGTGTTTCTATCTCTCTCTTCCTCTCCCTTCTTCTCTCTCTAAAAATAAAGAAAAAAAAATGTTTAATAAATAAATAAATTACTCCAAAAATAACCAGAAGAATATCCTGCCATTTGTAACAACATGGATGGACCTGAAGCACATTATGCTAATTGAAATTCACCAGACACAGAAAGATAATGCATGATTTCACATATATATGGAATTTAATAGAGTCAAACCCATGGAAGCTGAGAGTAAAATGGTGGTTACCAGGGGCTGCAATGTGGCATAAATGAGGGTATATTGGTCAAGTTAGTCAAGGGATACTAAGTTTCAGTTATGCAAAATGAATAAATTCTAGAAAGCTAATGAGATAGTATGGATTTAGCAAAACAGCAGTTTAAAAGAGACACTTTAAAAATAAAATTATTTTATGACACTGAAAGTACATTTTTCACAGTAAGACTTGGTTTATTTTTCTTTCTTTTTTTTTTTTTTTTTTATCCTCACCCAAGGACATTTTTCCATTTTTTGTTCAGATAGAGCAGGAGGGAGAGAGAGGAAGAGAGAGAGAAACATCGACGTGAAACACATCGAGTGGCTGCCACCCGCACGACCCAACCAGGGACGGGGACAAATTGCAACTGAGGTACGTGCCCTTAGTGGGAACCGAAACCAGGTCTCTCCGGACCACAGGCCAACGCTCCAACCGCTGAGCCAAACCAGCTTGGGCGAGACTTGGTTTATTTTTCATGAGTCCAAAACTAAATCTTAAAAATAAAAAATAAAGTTTTAACATAATTCCTATTAATTCAAAATGGACCATAGCCATAAATATAAAATCTATGTATATAAACCTTGTAGAAGAAAATATAGGAGAAAAATCTGTGTGATCCTTGGTTAGGATCAAAGATTTCTTAAATGCAATACCAAAATAATCATCTATAAAAGAAAAACATTAGTAAATTGTACTTCACCAAAATTAAGAACATCTGTTTACTTAATGTCAAGGAAATAAAATTATAAACAAAACACACATTTCTGATTTTTAAAAATCCAACTTATATCCAAAATATATAAAGAACACACAAAGATCAATGAAAAACAAAGTACCTAATGAGAAACTAGGTATAAGATTTGAAAAGACAATTCATAAAATAAAATATATTCATGATATATTATCACATGAAAAGATGTTTCACATCATCAGACATTAGGGAAATGCAAACTGAAATCAAAGGTGATAACTTCACACCTATCACAATGGCTTAAACAAAAGTGACACACTACAGGACATTTGGTCCTGTCCAAAACATACATGGAGACATTTGGTCCACAATAAAGGGTCCTTGAAATTTCATCTGTCCAAAATATCCATGTTTACAAACATTCCCTGGATTCAAATAGTCCATAACATTTACTTCTATTTTTGGTTTACAGAATTATTACATAAAAAATACTATTATGTTTTATTGGGCCAATAATTGTGTTGTGGCTGTATTGCCAATAATAACCTTTCCTGCCTTGGTAGTCTAGCTGGTCATGGCACATGGGGTTAGGTAGGTGAGTTAAGGTTCAAATCTTGAAGAAGAGCGAGATTTATATAAATTATGGACCAAATGTTTCTGTGGACATTTTGGATAGGACCATAAGTCTGCTAATTAAATAGCAATATCAAGTACTGATAAAGACATGAGCACCTAATAAATTTATACATTGCTGATGAAATGTAAAATTTTATAGTCATTTTGGAAAACAGTTTTTGAATTTATTAGAAAATTATTATTTACTTAACATATGGCCCGAACTCCCAAACCTAAATATTTACCAAAGAGAAATAAAAGTTTATTCATACAAAAACCTGCATGCAAATGTTTATTGCAGCATTATTAATAATTGTCAAAACACGAAAACAAACCTAATTCCCTCCAAATAGTAAATGGGTAACAAACTTTGGTAAATCCACACAAAAATATTTTTAACAATAAAATGGAATAAACTACTGTTACACATAATAATATGAATTTCAAAATCATTATTCTAAGTCAGAGACATCAAACTGAAAAGGCAACATACCTTGGAAAGGAAACACATCTAATCATTTCATTTATATAATATATAAGTGAAAAGGCAAAATCATACAAACAAAATGAGATCAGTGTTTGCCAGGAACCGAAGGTGGGGGAAAGGTTGACTTACATATATGGAAGGTGATCAAATTGTTCTCTATATTGATTTTTGTATTTACTATACAACTGTATAACTTGCCAATACTCATATAAGAAAGAGAAAATTTTACTGCACCATAATTTAAAAAATAAATTAAATAAAGTTAAAGCTAATTCCTAAGCTCTGATTTTTATACATCTGGAATCAAAATCTAAATCATACTAGTATAGGCAGCTAGTAAGGAGGAATCATAGAAGAGTGAATACTTAGAACTTCATAATGTCTTGACAATTATATAGTGCTAATTCTCATTCTTAAATGAAGACTCTGTGATCCAGCCTTGATAAGAACAGGACTAGTGTGTATCAAGAAGAAGAAACAGAGCCAATTTTGATGTTTACGGTCCACACCAAAATGAAAGGAGAGGCTAACATCAGCCAAATGGTGGCTATCCAGTTCCAAATGTCCATCCCTCCACACAAACATTGAAAACAAGCAAAAGCTGTCAGGACCAACTTTGTTAGGACTCTGGAAAACAGAGCAACCTAGTGAACACTGAAAAATAGTAGAAAAAGTAATTCCAGAAGTAGTTTTCTGAGGTAGCACATGGGTTAGTATGGCATTTGTCAGCTTCCACCATGGTGTAGCGTGGCCAGGGCCAAAAAGTGCAGAAAGTGATGGTGCAGCCCATCAACCTCATCTTCAGATACTCGCAAAATAGATCTCGGATTCAGGTATTGCTTTATGAGCAAGTGAATATGTGGATAGACGGCTATATCATTGGTTTTGATGAGTATATGAACCTTGTATGTGATGATGCAGAAGAGATTGATTCTAAAACAAAGTCAAGAAAACAACTGGGTGCGATCAAGCTAAAGGAGATAATAGTGCTCTGCTCCAAAGTGTATCCAACCAGAAATGATTCATGAAATAAGAAATGGTTGATGGCCGGTTTGGCTCAGCGGTTAGAGCATCGGCCTGCGGTCCTGAGAGACCCGGGTTTGGTTCCCGCTAAGGGCATGTACCTCGGTTGCAGTTTGTCCCCGGCCCTGGTTGGTCGTGCGGGTGGCAGCCACTCGATGTGTTCCTTTTACATCGATGTTTCTCTCTCTCTTTCTGTTCCTCTCTCTCCTTCCCACTCTACCTGAACAAATAAATGGGAAAAATGTCCTTGGGTGAGGATAAAAAAAAAAGAAAGAAAGAAAGAAATGGTTGAGAAGGCAGTATTTTTGAGTTTTAGGTGTCCTTTGTTTAAAGTATAGTTCTTAAACATTTATTCATATGGCTGTAATTACCCTTATGTTATTACCAGATGACAATATGACAATAAATGTTGTGGGATTATTATTATTTTTTTTTTCGGTGGTACGTGCCCCTAGTGGGAACTGAAAGCAGGACTCTCTGGTCCTCAGGCAGACGCTCAACCGCTGAGCCAAACTGGCCAGGGCATTGTGGGATTATTTTTATTTAAAAAAAAAAACAGAACAGTAGGAAAGCTTTGCGGCACTTTTACTTGGCTTTGTGCATCTTCCTAACTCAGTGGCAGGAAAACTTTGCAGTGATGGAAATGTTTTGAAATGAGATAGAGAAAGTGGTTATACCATATTACAAAGGCATTAAATGTCACTGAATTGTTTACTTTAAAATGGTTAATTTGAGCCTGGCAGGTGTGGCTCAGTGGATAGAGCACCGTCCCATGGACTCAGAGGTCCTGGTTTGATTCCCAGTCAGGGCAGCTGCACAGGTTGCAAGCCTGATCCCCAGTGGGGGGCAGTTGATGGATGTTTCTCTCTCACATCAATGTTTCTACCTCTCTATCCCTTCCTCTCTCTCTAAAAAATCAATAAAAACATATTTTTTTAAAAAAAATCAATATTTTCTATCATAAGTATTTTAATACTACTTATATTATTTTAGGCTACTCTATCTTATTCTTTAAGTTTTTTATATAATATGAACTCATACTTTAAAGTCAAATGATATGTAAAAGTATGTTTCCCAAACCATCATCCTCATCTGACTGTAATGGAGAAAGATGTGCTCCAAATGGAAAAAGCTGAGGGGAAGGGAAGAAGTGGTCAATGGAAACAAGAAGCTGAGAAGCCAGGGTTATGGATGAACCCCCACATGGATACAGAAATCATTCAGAAAATGAGAGGAGTGGGGTGAAGCATACACAATGAGCCTGGTTGCTAACAACGTCCAGAAAGTATTCCTCTGAGTCAGGGGAAGTGGTAAA